AGAGAGAGAGAGAGAGAGAGAGAGAGAGAGAGAGAGAGAGAGAGAGAGAGAGAGAGAGAGAGAGCTTGGTGACATTTGGATCCAGACTGTACATGGGACTTCAGACATTTTGAAGAGGGAGTATTTGGGACCTGTAACGAGACTTGGGGTTGACGACTTTCCCATCTCCCCCTTCCTCTTCTTCGTCTGATCCCCTCCTCTTCGTCTGTGTATGTCTGGACCTGGCGCCACTTTCCTGTGTATAGCGCCAGACCCCTTCACACCTTGTGATGAGCATGATGTATGTTTGGTCTGCGTTGAAACATGGAGTGGGCTAGCCATTAGTATTCTAGCATCCTGCTTCGCTATCTGGTACTACGTGAAAGAGGTCAGTCCCGGTCAGGTCAGGACTTGTATCTAAGTCTTCCCTGCGCTATAAAGCACCATTTTGCATGTATCGGAATGCACATTGCTTGTTGAGATTCCACTTGCACTGCATTGTCCATTCAGTCCTTTTTATCACATTGTGGATCCTCGGTTTATATGTACATCGCCCAACTGGGCATGTAACACACTCCCTCAATGTCTGTAGTCCTGGTCTACCCTCCCTCATCATGCATGCACACTCCCTATCACACGAGGATCTACTCTGAATACTACTCACTGGTATCTCCTACTGACTTTCCCTACTAACATACTAACTAGCGCTGGTGCAGCTATGGCTGCCTTCCCTCTAGCCAACACTCTCTTCTTTCTCACATAGCGCTGCTCTTCAGCCTAGCGCAGCTCACACACATATAGCGCACAAGTGCCACGGCACTTCCACACTCTCATGCGGAGTGAGCATCTGTCAAATGGGAGGCTGGCCAGTCCTTTATAGTGCTGGACTGGTCTGGCGTGGCCTGCATTCAGTCTCAAATGTGCCTGGGACTCCTGCCCATTACCGATTGTTGCAAAGTGTGTGTCCCAGTATCTTTTCCCATGGTCTGTTGCTGCTTTGGGCCATCGGGCCTGTCTTTTGGACTCCTGGTCTGAATCAGGACTGACACGTGGGATATGACTGGACTGGGACTGTAGCCTTTGACTCATTGCCGAACAGACATGTCTTTTCATCGAGCAGACATGACCCTAACTCAGTCTTGAAAATTGTGTCCAATACCTGTTCGTTCAGGACCTGTTTGTGACCTTTCAAAATGACTTTTCACTTCATTATGGATGCGACATTTACCTCAGGAACTCTGTCTTTTGAGTTGCTGCTCGTGAATTTGAGTTCTGGCCGACAGGGCCCCTCACTGTTGGGCATTCATCTGGGGTCTAATTCGTAAAGGCCCTTTTAGTTGGATGGTGAGGGTAAGGTGATATGGAGGCAGAAATCTTCTGAAACTAGGCATGCACGAGGTAAGGTTTGCTTTATGCTGAAACAGAGGTAAGTGTTACGATCCTGGCCAATTTTGAAGTCCACAACCATCAGAAAGTACAATGCTGCCCAAATGCAAAAGAAATAATTGAACTTGAGCTCAACTCCATCCAATTGCAAAATGAAATGAAAGAACTTGAAAGGAGAGAGAGGGAAAGAAGAAGAAGAAGAAT